GTCACGAAACCAGGTGACCTGGGGCTGGGGGAAGCTGGCGATGCGGGGCGCACGGATGACGGCCGCCTCCCCGTGGGACACGCTCTGCTGCGTCTCACTGTCCTCGAAGCTCCCCATGTCTGCAAAGCACGCGGGAGAACGGCGTCAGGGGCTGGCGAGGGGCCGGCATCGCGCCCAGAGACCCAGCAGGGTCCAGCCCTGGGTCCGGCTGGGGAGCAGGCTGGGGGCTACGGGGATGGGCTCCCCCAGGGGATGCAGAGGGGCTGCCCCAGGGGTCTGCTCTCTACTCCCCTCCTTGGCCGGGGCGGTTTGGCTGGCACAGGGCATGGGACGGTGCTGGGGTAGCTCAGACCCCCCAGGCTGCTCCTGCACACCCGGGGCTGCGCTCACACCAGGATCCATCCCTGCAGTACCTGGAGCTCGCACGCCAGAGCGGGGACCCCAGCCCATCTGTCCCCCACCAAGGATGGGGTGCAGGGCTCAGCCCCGACGCTCCCCGGCATCTTTCCCTGCCCCGACCCAGCACCGGGAGCATCCCGGCATGACCTTGGCTCTGCAGGCAAGGTTGGGGCACTGGCTGCCCACGTCCTGCCCAGCCATTCCAGGCTGGAAGCACGCAGCAGCCGAGGAAAGCCAAGGGAAGCAGGATGCGTGGAGAAGGGGGGCAGGGGATTTTTATTGACTTCCCTTAATTGCTGTAATTAAAAACATGTAAAGAATCTTTTTTTAACGACTTTGCCATTATCATTAGTTGTTAGCACAGCTGCCTTATTAATTTCTCATTAGCTTCCTGATTTGTCATTGCTCCTCAGGAAGGGGTTTAAAGGCACGGGATTGGGGGCATCCCGGAGGGAAGGGCTGACAGAGCAGGGCAAGCCCCCTAGGGCACAGAGCCAGCGTCCCAGGCCCCAGCACCCTCCTGTCCCGCTTACACCCCCCATGGTGCCTCTGCATCGCCCCCCAGCGCAGCCCCCCGAAGCCTGGCCCACCCCACTCGGGTCCCCTCGTTTGCA